GAACACTTTGTAAACATCTATTAAGTCCATTTGTTCAACAGTTTGGTTCAGGTCTAGAATTTCATTGTTAATTTTTTGTCTAGATGATCTGTCTGTTTGTGATTTTGGGGTATTTAGTTCCCCCACTACAACTGTATTAATGCTTGTTTGGTTTTTCATGTTCATTAACATTTGTTTTGAATAGTTGGGGGCATTCATATTTGGTGCATATATTTATGATTGTCATTTCTTCCTCTTAGATTGTTCCATTTACAAGGATGTAGTGACCATCTTTGTCTCTCTTAATTAGTTTTGGTTTGAAATCTACTTTGTCTGCAAATAAGATTGCTACCCCTTGTTTTTTTGTGTTGCTTTTGTGTGGAGAACTGTTTTCCATCCTTTTACTTTCAGTGTATGAATTTCTTTTTGAGTTAGGTGTGTTTCTTGTATACAGAATATTGTTGGATTTTGCTTCTTCATCTATTCTGCCAGTCTATTTCTTTTGATTGGGGAATTGAGGTCAATAGCTGTGATGGTTGTAATTGATAGATATTTACTCATCCTTATGATGTTTTCCTGTTGGATCTTTTATTTTTTATTTTTCCCCCTTTCCCTTTTGTTTCTTGCCTTGCCTGGTGGCTTCCCTCTGTTGGGCCTCATGGAGTTGTGACATTCATTATCTTTTTCTAGGATATTGTTTAGAATTGTTTGGACTGCTGGTTTGGTGTTCATGAAATTTCTCAGGTGTTCTTTGTCATGGAAGTATCTAATTTCCCCATTGATTTTGAAAGATAATTTTGCAGGATACACAGTCTATGTTGGACAGTCTAGGTTGGAAGTTATTTTCTTTTAGTGCTTGAAATACTTTACTCCAGGCTCTCCTTGATGTGAACATTTGTGTTGAGAAGTCTGCTGTGATTCTGATGGGCTTTCTTTTGTAGGTGATTTGTTTCTTTTCTCTACCTGCTTGTAGGATTTTGTTTTTCTGTTGGGTTTCTGGGATCTTGACTATTATATGCCTAGGTTTAGATTTTTTTTTTGATTTTGGCTTGTTAGAGTTCTATATGCCTTGCTTATCTGTATGTCCAATTCTCTATCTCTGTCTGGGAAGTTTTCTACTATTACTTGTGTGAAGAGTTATTTTTTACGTGAATTGTATTTTCTCCTGCTTTTTTGTGGACTCCTATCAGTCTTATGTTATTCTTCTTTGCATCATCTAACAGCTGCTGCATTGATTTCTCATTGTCCCATACTGTTTTGAAGAAATCTCTGTTTTCATGGTCATTAACAACAATCCTGTCTTCTATATCTGATATTCTATCTTCACATTCCCTTAATCTGCTGCACATACTTTCAATGGAGTTTTTAATCTCCTGGATATCTGTTTGAATCTGTTTCATGGATTCCATTTCTTTCTTATGTTGGGTGATCATGGTTTCTATTTTTTTCTTATGCTGGGCATTCATCGCTTCCAGCATGTTTCTGAGCTCATCTATTTTTTTTTATCTGTTTCTGTTCTAGAGTCTCTAATCATGTCTTTCACTCTGCTCACCATCTCTGTAATTATCTGGGAAATTATTCTGTTTTGAATTTTTCTAGGGCTTCATTCACCTCTTTTGTTACTTCCCATGCTATCAGTTCAGGGTGTCCAGTTGGTTGATTATCAGAGTTTTCCACTGCATTTCCTCCAGAGTTTACCCTTGGTGGGGTGGAAGACTGAGTTTGTGGCTTGCTTAAATATCTTCTTATTTTTGTTTTTGGTACTGTCCTTGGTTTAATTCCTGGGTTGATACTTCAAAATTGCTTATTGTAAGTATCTTTGTTGCTTGGAATTAGAACCCTTATTTAATGATTGCTTCTCAGAGGGGTCTTCCAGATATAGCTTGTCTTTAGGTTTTGAGTCTCTAATGACTCTGAGCCTGTCTCATTTTAATTATACCAGGAAGGACAACTGATTAGATCAATCACAACACCTTAGCCCAACTGATACAATCAGCAACAACATAGCATCAAGTACATCTTAGAAAGTGACAATTTGTGTTAGTTATTAATCTATCACCTTTCACTGTTTGAATTAATTCAAAATCGAGAACCAACCCAACATATGTTTATAGTGAATGAACTCTTCAATATAGCAACTTTACCCTTAGGGATGGGAAGATAGAAGGTGTCGGGGAGGGAGGAATACATAGGTAGAAGGATGGGAGAAGGTTAGCAGTAAGGCCAGAGGCCACAGGAGAGAGAAGGAAAAAGATGAAAAGAAAAATAAAGAAGAAATCCAAATTAGGGCCAGAACAGGAACAAAAATGGAGATGAAGAACAATGTGGGACATCAAGGGAGCAAGTGAGAAAGAGAGAAAAAGGAAAGAGAAAAGAAAAAAAAGAAGAGAAAGATAAAAATTTGAAAAGAGTAGAAAAAAAATGAAAAATAAGAGCAAAAAACAATAATAATTTTGAAAATAACAAATAAAAAAGAAAAATGAAAATGAAGGGCCTCCTTCAGGGTATGTCTCTGCTGTCACAATAGACAACATGGGCACCAGTGTGCCAATATTAGTCAATGAGTCTCAGCAAGCCAGTCACAGACCCATGGGATTCAGGCAGATTTCTGGCTTCAAGTCCCAAGTTGAGCTCCCTGTCCTCCTGCAGGGTTGAACTCTGCCAGGTTCTACTGCAGATTCCAGCTGTCCTTCCCCTGAAGATAGTCCAGGTTCCAATGGGACATGATGATCCCTCCAACTTATCAGGTATGGTGGTCTGGTGTTCCCTGTGCCTTTGTAGTGTGGAACCAGGTAGTGGCACAGCCAGGAGGCCAGAGGTGCAGGGTAGGGGGACTGCAGGCACCCTTGTGGCTAAGTAGGTCACTGCCATGGGGCTGGAAAGTGGTGAGGGGTCCTCATCTTCTGGCTGGTTGCTGGTGAGCATGGCATGGGTTGGATGAAGCAGGGCTCCTGGTGGCCAGGGACCTCTCTTTCCAGCGGGCTAAGCAGGTCCTGAATGATCTTGAGAAACAAAATAAATAATATTGAATTATAACTCAATGTTTGAAATAAGTATATGTGAGTCCATAATGATATACATATTTGCTTGAATAAAATGAGAAGGGTAGTGGCAAATTTTTGCAGTATATGAATACTGTCCTTTACAGGAGAAAAAGCTTAATTCCCACTTTTCCCCTTTCCCCTTAAGGTTGGGGTATACTTAATGACAAATTTCCTAGACATGGAGCAGAGAAAGGAGTACATAGTAATTTCACAATGGAGAAACCTGGCAAGCATTACTTAAACCAAGTAATCAATCCTAATATCAGGTAGATATCCTGGGATCCTTAATATATTTTGATGAGAAGAGTTGACTTCTCCCCCAAGACATGTAATTACAGTCTAATCAGATAATCACAGCCTAATCATGATAACAGTATCAGAAAAACCCAGAATGAGAAACATTCTACATTCTGGTAATAGTTCTTAAGACTATAAAAATAAGGAAAGTATAAGAAACTGTCACAGACTGGAGGAGACTGGGGAGACAAACACGTAATGCACTGTATTACCATGGAGTGAAACTTGTAACAGAAAGAGGACTGTAGAGGAAAAATTGGTGAAGTCCAGTGAAAGGTCTTTAGCAATGTACAGTTGCCATTTTCTTTGTTTTGACAAATGTGTCATAGTAATATAAGATGTCAACAACAGAAAGGTAGTTGAGGGGTATATGGAAAATCTCTGTACTACCTTTGCAACTTTCTGTAATTTAAAGACTATTCTAAAATACAAAAATCTTAAAATTTCCAAATTTTATCATGTTATGTCATGATACATTTAATAAAGACATTTAATAAAAATTTATTTGAGACATGATGGAAGGAGATGAATAAACCTTGGAAATATGAAAAAAAGTTCATGAGCTGAAGATCATTTTAAGAAAATGACTACATTTTATCAGGCTTGGCATCAACATTCCTCTAACTTCTAGTGGTTTGAATCATATTTGGACAGTATGAACTTTGTTTCATGTGATGCTTTTGGCATCTCTGAGGAAAGTGTTAGAAGCAAAATGATCTGATGGAGAATTGTTTTGAAAGAACACAAGCATCTTCTCTAGCTATCCATGTCTTAATCTTCCATATTCATCAGTGCAGATTCCAGTGATATGTTTAGAAGTTAAGCTTCCTATAACTGTGGCTGTTTTCCTTTCCCATTCTAAATATACTACCTTTAAATAATTTAAAACTTCTAAATAATTTCAAGAAGTTAAATAAAAAAGTTGTGAGTGAATAGAACTTCAGTTCTAGGGTTTGCCGTAAATTTTTTAACCCAACATGTTATACAGTTACTGACATTTGTTTGAACAACTTAGTATATACAATTTCAAACTGAATATAATTTAGATTTATGCAGTTTTAGAGAAAAGTATCTTTAAAGTCCTTCCCAAGTTTTTTTTTATTAGGTAAGTCTTTGGTTTTATTTACTCCTGATTAATCTTTAACTAATACTGAGACCCTTATTAATTCAAGTATTAACAAAATCCTTCTCCTCTAATTAAAACATAATTAAAAGGCTTCCCAGAACATTTCAAATATTTACAAATGAGTATAACTTTGCAAAATGTAAAAATAACACAGTTAACTTTGTTGATGTTATGATTATATTTTATAAAACTATTACATTACTCTTGTTGGCTCTTTTATTTCTTGTTTTCCCCCCTTTTGCTTCAGTGTCTTACCTTGCATGGTGCCTTTTCTCTGCTGGGCCTCATGGAGTTGTGATTTTCATTGTCTTTTTCTAGGATATTTCTTAAAATTGTTTGGAGTGCTGTTTGGTGTTCACGAAATTTCTCAGGTGTTCTTTGTCATGGAAGCATCTAATTTCCCCATCAATTTTGAAAGATAATTTTGCCAGATACAACTGTCTAGGTTGGAAGTTATTTTCTTTTAGGGCTTGAAATACTTCACTCCAGGCTCTCCTTGATTTGAGGGTTTGTGTTGAGAAATCTGCCATGATTCTGATGGGCTTTCCTTTGTAGGTGATTTGTTTCTTTTCTCTAACTGCCTGTAGAATTTTGTTCTTCTGTTGGGTTTCTGGAATTTTGACTATTATATGTCTAGATGTATATTTTTTTTGGTCATGGCTGGTTAGAGTTCTATATGCCTCACTTATCTGTATGTCCAATTCTCTACCTCTGTCTGGGAAGTTTTCTACTATTACTTCTGTGAAAAGTTTTTTATGTCCATTGTACTTTCTCCTGTTTTTTCGTGGACTCCCATGTGTCTTATGTTATTCTTCTTTGCATCATCTAGCAGCTGTTGGATTGCTTTCTCATGGTCCCTTACTATCTTTAAGAAATCTCTGTTTTCATAGTCCTAAACTGCAATCCTGTCTTTTATATCTGATATTCTGTCTTCAGATTGTCTTAGTCTGCTCTGCATGCTTTCAATGGAGTTTTTAATCTCCTGAATATGTTTGAATCTGTTTCATGGATTCCATTTCTTTCTTATGTTGGGCGATCATGTTTTCCATTTCTTTCTTATGCTGGGCATTCACGGCTTCCAGCATGTTTCTGATCTCATCTATTTTCTTATCTGTTTCTGCTCTAGAGCTTCTAATCATGTCTTTCACTCTGCTCACCATGTCTGTATTTATCTGGGAGATTATTTCTGCTTTGAATTTTTGTAGAGCCTCATGCATCTGCTTTGTTACTTCCTGTGTTGTCAGTTCAGAGTGTCCAAGTGGTTGCTTATCAGACTTTTCCACCTCATTTCCCCCAGAATTTCCTTTTTGTGGCATGGAAGCCTGCATTTGTGCCTTGCTTAAGTGTCTTCTCATTTCAAATTAAATTGTGGAAATGGCTGTGCTGGTTGCTATATTAATTTTCTAGGAATTCTAAAACAAATTACCATAAGCTGGATGGATTAAAACAGCAGAAATTTATTCTCTATTTCTGAGAGCTAGAAGTTTGAAATGAAATTGCTGTCATGGTTTTTCCTTTTTGGAAGCCCTGAAGAAGAAACTGCTCCATGCCTCTCTCCTAATTTCTGATGATTTCTGTGTTCTGTGTCTCATGGACGTATTATTCCAACTCTGTCTCTATCTTCACACATTCATTCTTTTCTCTGTGCATCTCTGCGTCTCCTCAAATCTCCCTCTCCACACAAAGATAGCAGTCACTGGATTGCCTTCCTCACCTTAACTTTATTACATCTTCCAGGAGCCTATTTCCAAGTAAAGTCACCTTCACAAGTACAGTAGGCTGGAACTCAAATATATTTTTATGGAGATTGCAACTCAAGCAAACAATTGGATATTGACACATTTATCTCTGGGTAATTCCTAGGTCATTTTGGAAATTCCCCTTCCCTTGATTGCTACATTTTTGTCACTTCTGGCTGCTATGGATCTTTAAATTCATTTAAATATATTTGTTCCCCACTGAAATTATGATTAAATTCACGATATTTTTCTTCTTAAAATCAAACTATCAACTGGATTGCATAAAGGAGAAAACTAAGCGGGAAGTCTAGTGAGAAGAGGATCCACAAGGACACTCTTCAAGGCAGCTCATGTGTTGACAAGAAGGATGAAGCACTTCACAACTTAATTCAACTCTATTTTTCTAAAGTTTTAACAACTTACCAGAGTACATCACCCCGGGATGTTAAATCAAAAGCACAACTCTCAACACCATCTTTAAATTTGATGACCTTTGAGTAGACCCAGGAAGGCAATGCCAGAATAAAAGAAGCTGCCCAAAGGCCCAAATTGATGCAGATGGTCCTGTACCTCGTTCTGCAACTCATCAGATGAAATGGTTGGACAAGTGCCAAGTACCTGGAAAGCCAGTTAAGAAGGGTTTGGGAACAATCAATAAAAGCATTGAGCTCCAAGGATGAGAGGTTCATGACAAGAGTAAATTATTAGTATTATTATCCTTCCTGAAGCACACCTCTATCACTGTAAAAGAAAGTTATATTTTTAAGAGCTTGCTGATACTGTAGAGAAAACAACTCTTGACCCTGCAAGTCTGAATAAACCACTCACTGAAATAGCTGTCAGTTCTTCCATGAACACACTGTTAATGGTAAAATTCTGCAGTGCAAACCTTTTCTTCAGAAAAGTGCTTCTCTTTTAAAGGAGGCTCTGGAAAACTTTGTATCTGAGCCAGAATTTCCTCTAGGAGGAAATGATTCTCTTCCTAGCAAGATTTACTGATGTAAAGGCAGGAAGGAGGAAAATGTGGGGGTTGAAAGGAGGCTCCCCCAGCAGGGTGAGGTGTAGGCACACCCTATAGACATTTATAATAGAATCCCCAGGCTCTTGGAAGTTTGGGTCACAGAAATCACAGTAAGGATGAACAAGCATGAATAGTATGACTAATGTAAATTCCTCAGGGAATTTGGGCCGGGGTCCAGAGAGAGGAAGTGGGCTAACTGTATGTGGAAGAGTGGGGAGCTGTTTTTCTTTTCTTCCACTTTAGATTCAGAAAAGCATGATCATTCATCACACTTGATATCCTGACCTATCAATGATATTTAGTCTTCCAGCAAATCCAAGAAGAAAATTGCAGAGCTAATTGAAAGCTAATGGATGAAAAAGAGAGCAGTGATCAGAAGGAAGGCTGCTTAAGAAAGCAGTTTTGCTGGAGGGTGGGGTGGTTGAAGGTAATATTAGTAGAAATTAAACAAATGCAAAAAATGATTTTGTTGCTCACAGTTTTTTCCAGGTTCTTGTACAGCTACTTAATAAAGACTCACAAAAATGAAAGATTATTAATCCTCAGGCTCTTTCAGTTTTGCACATGAGACAGGGCATTTTAGAATCAGTTAAGGGAATCCTTGACATGCAAAAACAGAAGAACCCCTTCCTTCTTGCTGGGGCAGTGGCAGAGACAGTAATTTCAGTGCAGCTCAACTATCATTCTGACTGGAATTAAAGAATGATGAAGTCATGGCATCAATCAGTTCTCTGATAGTATCCCTCTCTGGGTGAAAATCTTTTAATGGCTTTCTATGCCTTTCAGATAAAATTCAGATTCAGTTCAATTCTTCACCATGACACACAAGTTCTTTCTCTACTTAGCCCCACCTACCATTTTGGCTGGAACATGTGCCAAAGTCTCTCTTGACTTCTGTGTTAGTCAGCTCTTCTTATTATAAGAAGATAAGCAACTTATAAAAAGAAAAGGTGTATTTTGGCTCACAGTTTCAGAGTTTCTAGTTGAAGATTAGTAGGCCCCATTGCTTTGGGCCTATGGCAAGGCAACACATCATGGTAGGGAGCAAATAGCAGAGAAAAACTGCTCACCTCATGGTCCAGAGGTGGGAGAGACAGGGGAAGTGTCTAGAATCCTACAAACCACTTCAGTTGCATGCCTCCAATGATCTAAAGACCTCTCACTAGGATCCACCCCTTAAAGATTTCACTATCTTCCAATAGTGCCAAATTGGGGTCTAAGCCTTTAATGTAGGTCCTTTGGGAGAGGGTATATTGCAGATCCAAAGTATAACAGCTTTGTTCAAGTTCTTCCCCCTTTCAGGGCAAGGCACGTGCTATTCTTCCTGCCTGGTGAGATCTGCCTTCATGAACCTCCTGCTCTCCTTTTGAGTGACTATTTGTTTCCCTCCCTCCCAAAGAAGCCTTTTCTGTCTACCCAATCGATATAAGGGCCCTTGATGGTCAGTGCAGATCATAGGAGAGCTCTATTTTTCCTTCCTAAGATATATCACTGTGGAAATAATACTCACCCACGTGAGTGGATAACTCTTCACTTAATTCCTGACTACACTATTGGAATGGAAGCCCTATGAAGGCAGGAGCCTTGACCATGAATTTAAGGCCACAGTATCCCATGCATCTGAAAGACTCCAGCATATGGTCTATGCTCAAACATTGTTTTCTGAATGAATGAATGAATGAATGAATGGGAAATTCTGGCCCATATGCATTGTTCTAAAGACTATTTACAAAAGTTAATCCTAAAGAAAATCTAGTAGCTCTTATCTGGAGATAAGTATTTTTCATATTTTGGTTGCTTACTTTTTTGTTTTTTGTGTTGCTGTAGATGGAGAATCCCACTATTCAATAGTCTATAAACTTGTTATTACTAATAAAGAAGGAAAAAAGAATTATCAGACATACTTGAAATGTATGACCCATTAAATTGGCAATTGAAATGACTTACATATATAAACATAAAGCATATCAGTGTCACTGACAAGTGGTTATGGCCTTACAAAGAAGTCTATTTCTTTTTACACAATTGTAGATTTGGTTGAACTTTTATAAATTTAGTAGAAGTTAGAATTATAAGAAAAATTATGGAACATTTGTCTCTTGCTGCCTGATCCTCTAGAGTGAGGGCCAGCAAAAGAAAAGGGCCTAAATGTCTTAACTATATAGTAAAATTTTAGCATCTTTATCTATCCACGTTAAAAGAAAGCAGGTGTATAACACACACATGCAAACCACACTTGCAAATCTGTAAATATTAAAAGTTATATGAGGTTGGTTTATTCCAAGCCAGAAAATGTCCATTCACTTTATTTGCAGTAATGGAGTTATAAGAGGACAAATAGCCTTCTTTTTTAAAGCCAATAGTCTCCTGTTTCCAAACTACACAACACAAGAAGCTTTTACCATTCCCAAGAGTGGGACTACCATGGAAAAGTTTGGACTTAGGTGCTTCTCCACAGCAAGATTTGCCTGTGTAGGGCCTTCTTCCTAGTGCAGGGACACTGGGAAGCTATGAGCTTTTTTTAAGTCACCATCAGCTTTGGTTGGCATTTACTGAGTAAAGCACAACTGCACAGTACTTTGATTATAAATTGAGAACTACACTGAATTTTGAGAATTCCTTTACAGGAAGGCAGCAGGATATAAAAATGTGTAAAGTGTTACCATCATTACTCATTTTGTCAGAGTGAATTATCTATATGCACTATGCCGTTCTTTTGTTCAATCCATCTGAAGACCTTTTATCACTTCTTTACCCACAAATGTCCACTTGGGAGAGTGGAAGAAGCAGAGCTTAAGAAGAAGTCCTAGGTAGACCCAGAGAAATTCAACATAACTTTAATACTGACATTCATTCATTTATTTATATTCACTCATCAATATTTTTTGTACATCTATGTGTTAGGTACTGCTACACAGAGATTTGGGATGTATTAGTGGACAGACTTTGCCTTTGTGAAATCTGCTCTTGAAGGACAAGAGAAGCTAGACAGTAAACAATATCCATATAAATAAGAGCACAAAGAAAATTATGTAAGATAATTAAAACAAGAAGAAAAGAAAAAAAAGCAGAGAAAGGGGGCCAAGTGTACTGGGTTGGGGTGGGAAGACAGGTGGAGGTTTTAAATCAGTTGTTTTTGGTGACAGCATGTCACTGTTGTATGTATTATCATTGTCTTTATGTTTTCATTTAGGTAGAACTGCATGGAATGGTGTGGGAATCATGGCATCTGGAGAATTCAGGGGAATCCTAACTTGAATGCTTCCTAGAAGAGCTAGGTAGGAGACAGTTGCAAATGATGGCAGGTTACCATCTTTAAAACCGATGCCTCATTCTGAACTGGGCTCCCCCACTCATTGGCTCCACAAGTATTTACTACCACCATTATCTCTTCAAGTAACAGTTTACATGGTTGGTGAAAAGGACTATGGTACATTCCAGGACACAGGGGAATACATTTTTAATGATGTATAATGGCAGCAATATATTAACCAAACATAACCATGTGGCGATCTTCCTGGTACTGGGAAATTGCTTTATAGTTGTATTATAACCTATAGCTACTCCACTGGTGCTTTCGAGGTTCTGGGTGATAGCAAGCATGTCAGAAAAAGGTAAAGAGCAAATTACAGCTGGGGATTTAGCTCAGTGGCACTGCGCCTGCCTGGCAAGCACAAGGTCCTGAGTTCGATCCCCAGTACAAAAAAAAGAGCAAATTACAGAACAATATGAGAATCATCATGATAATCTTCACATCTTAGCCCACTTTATTATGATTTATGGTTTTACCAGAGCTGATATCCACTCAGCACATACTGGTACAAATTGTTTACAGCTATTTTTTTTTTCCTGTACTGGGGATTGAATTCAGGGGCTTCTCACTGAGCTACAAGCCCAACTCTTTTCTATTTCTTATTTTGAAACAAGGGTCACTAAGTTGCCCGGGCTGGGCTCAAACTTGACTTGTGTGTATATTTGTATTGGCTAGTACCTAAACAACAGTTAGGTTTGTTAAATACATCTTTGACTACTATAGAGTACAGGACTTAAACTCAATTGTGTTCAAGAAAGGATAAGACTTCTTGAGATGATTCTTGGACTGTCTTGAAGGATAAGAAAAAGCTAGCTTAGCAAAGGAAAGTTGTAGGAAGGGAAAGGTGTTTTGACCAATGGAATCACCATGTGCAAAGAGTATATGGGGAGAAATTTTCACCAATCAATGTAAAAACAAGTAGATAATGAAGTTGGAAATCAATGACAAAGAAAACACAGAAATTATTCAACTACACAGAATATACTCAACAATCTGCTCTTAACAATGGGCTACAGAAGTAATCAAGGAAGATATAAGCCAATTTCTAGAACTAAATTATAATGTTAGTAGAACATATCAGAAGTTATGGGATACAATGAAAGCAATCCTAAATGGGAAGTGCTCTGAAAATTCGCATTACAAAACCAGAGCAAACCCAAATAAATTACCTAAAGATGAACCTCAAGGTTCTATAAAAACAAGAGAAATCCAAAGTCAAAGTTCGTAAAAGGAAGGAAATTGTAAAGAAAAGAGCAGAAATCAGTGAAATTGAAGCCAAAATTAGAGTTAATGAATTGAAGAGTTGATTCTTCAAAAGAATAAACAAAATAGAGAAACACTTAGCCAACCTAACCAAAAAGAGGAGAGAAAAGACCCAAACCAATGCAATTAGAAATAAAAAAGTGAAATAACAACAGATACTGCCAAAATAAAAAACATTATCATTAACAACTACTTCTCAAATATGTGCACAAGTAAATTGCAGAATTCAGAAGAAATGGATAGATTCTTAGATACATGTGAATTATGAAAATTGAACCAAGAAGATTTAAAAACCCTGAATAATACAATAACAAACAATGAAATTAAAGCAGAATTAAATAAGCTACTAATGAAGAAAAGCCTCATTTTCAACAAATTCACTGCTGAATTCTATAAAAAGTTCAGAGAAGTTCTAACACCAATACTCAAGTTTTTTAATGAAATTTAAAGGGAAGGAGTACTCCCAAAGTGATTCCTGGAAGCCACCGTTACCCTGATTCCAAAACTGGACAAAGATCCAACAAACAAAAAGGCACCCATAGACCAATCTCTAATGAATATAGATGCAAAAATCCTCAACAAGATACTGGCAAACAGAATGCAATGAGTCATACATCATGACCAAGTAGGTTTCATCCCAAATATATAGGATGGTTGAATATACACAAATCAATAAATGTAATACATCACATAGGCAGAGGCAAGGTAAAAAAAAATCATAAGATCATCTCAATAGAGGCAGAAAAAGCCTTTGACAAAACCAACATCCTTTCATGATATTAGCACTGAAGAAAATACGTATAGCAAGATCTTATCTCAATTTGATAAAAGCCTCTTTTTGGCTTTTTTTGAGACAGGGTCTCAGTATGTAGTCCAGGCTGGCCTCAAACTCATGGCAATCCTCCTGCCTCAGCCTCCCAAATGTTGAGATTACAGGTATGTGTCACCGTGTCTGGCTGATAAAAGTCATTGATAACAAATGTACCACCAATATTGTATTGAATGGAGAAAAACTGAAGGCTATCCCTCTAAAATCAGGAATAAGAGAAAGATATCCTCTATCACCACTCCTGTTCAATATAGTTCTTGAAACATTAGCAAGAGCAATTAGTCAAGAAAAAAATAAAAAGGATATGTAAAGGAAAGAAGTCCAATTAGCATTATTTTGTAGATGACATGATCCTTTTCATAGAAAAATCCCCCAAATCCACCAAAAGACTCTTAGAATTCATAACTAAATTCAGTAATGAAGCAGAACACAAAGTCAACACACATAAATCAACAGTGTTCCTGTATACTATTAACCCACTGAGAAAGAAATTAAGAAAAAAAATAACATTCACAGTAGTATCAAGAAAAATTAAACACAGTACTTAGTAATTAAGCAGTCTAAGGAAGTGAAAGATCTCTACAATGAAAACTACAGTACCCTGAAAAAGGAAACCAAAGAGAATATCAGAAAATAGAAAGATATCCCTTGTTCCTGGATAGACAGAACCGAGATCATCAAAAATGGTCATACTTCCACAACTGATACACAGATTCAATGTAATCACAATCAAAATTCCAACAACATTCTTCACAGAACTGCAGAAAAAATTCATTTGATATTAGAAGTGACCCAGAATAGCAAAAGAAATCCTTTGTAAACAGAAAAAAGTGGGAAGCATCACAATCCTGGACTTATTATATTACAAAGCTACTCTGATTAAAAAAAAAAGCATTGTACTGGCACAGAAACAGACATAAGGATCAGTGGAAGAGAAGATGAAAAAATAACCCCAAGCACATTCAACTATTTGGCCTTTGACAAAGGAGCCAAAATATACATTAGAGGAAAGATAGGCTCTATAATGAATGGTGTTGGGAAAACTCATTATCTATATACAGAAGATTGAATCTAGGAGAATATCACTCACCACATACTAAACTAAAATCAAAATGGATCAAAGCAGTAAGTGTTAAAACAGAAACACTTAACCTGCTGGAAGACAAAATAGCTCTTGAAGTCAAAGGTATAGCCTGAGACTTTCTGAGCAGAACCCTGGTTGCATAGGAAATAGTTCTGAGAATCAACAAATGGGATTGCTATGGCTTATATCTAGATGTCCCCCTCAAACCTCATGTGGGCATAGATGGGGCTTTGGGGAGTGATTATAGTATGGGTGTGTGATACTGGATCATGGGTGTGAGGTACTGAATTAGTTCACTCATTGGTTTAGCATAGTTTGGGTGTGGATGATGGATTTACTGAAGAGGGCAGATCTACCCTAGGTATGTGTGGTGGCAGCCAATAGGATTATAGATTGGATGGAATAAAAAGGGAAAGAAGTAAAATTTCCACCTGACATGTCAAGAACTGTTTCTCCTTTGCCATGCTCCTTCACATGCTGTCCTACCTTGGAGCCAGCCAATTATGAACTGAAATGTCTACAGACTGTGAGCTAAAATAAATCTTTCCTGCTCCAACTTACCTACTTTAGCATATATTTTGTCCTAGCAGTGGGAAAGTAATTAAGCCAGTGATCATATAAAAATTAAAAAACATAGTAAAAGAAACAACAGAGTGAACAGGCAATTATAGAATGAGCAGAAAATTTTTGCAAGCCATTCCTCAGATAGAGGACTAATATCTAGAATATAAAAATATTCTAGAAAATAAAAAAATTAGACCCCACAGAATAAAAGATCCAGTAAAAAATAGACAATGAAAATGAATAGACACTTCACAAAAGAAGTACAAATGGCCAATGAATACATGAAGAAATCCTCAGCATCATTGGGCATTAGAGAAATGCAAATTAAACAACACTGGGATTCCATCTTACTCCATAAAGCCTGGCAATAATAAAAAAATCAAATCATAAAAAATGCTGAAGAGGCTGCAGGGACAAAGGATCCCTTCTACATTGTTGGTGGGAATGTAAACTAGTACAACTACTATGAAAATCAGTGTGGCAATTCCTCAAAAAAACTGAAACTAGAAATTCCATTTGACCCAGCTATTCCCTTTTAGGTATTTTCCCAAAAGAGTTAAAGGCATATCATAGTGATACATGCATATTGATATTTATAGCAGCATAATTCATAATAGCTAAATCTTGGAAGCAATGTATATGTCTATCAACAGTTGAATGGTTAGAGAATATGTAGTATTTATACCCAACGCAATTCTACTCTCCCATAAAGAATGATAACCTTGAGTCAGTTGTAGGAAAATGAATGCTTCTTAAGACCATAAGCTTAAATTAAATAAATCAGACATAGAAGCTTAAATATCACATGGTTTCTCTTATATGATAAATCCAATGTATAAATAGAGAGCAAAAGACTACTGAATGTACCAGGAGAAGTGCTCCAGGATTTTCATAGAAATACTTTTTTAACTGACTTCAATTGGAATTAGTATGGGTGCTCATTTATGATTGAATGGATAAATAGATCATCATATTGACAAAATGGAATACTAAACAGTACCAGAAAGGAATAGACTCTATGTACACACAATAACATGGATGGATCTAAACACTTAATGTTGGGCAAAACCCAAAAATTTATACAGCATCCTTCCATTTATATAGGCTTTAAAGTCACTAGCAAATGTAATCTATGTTATCAGGGATGCATAAATGATGATAAAACTGTAGAGAAAAACAAAGAAGTGATAGCTGCAAAAGCTACAGGTTGCTAGCCACTTCCAAAGAGAGGGTCAATTATGACTGTTAATGTTCTGGTTGTCTTGTCTTTGGTTTCCTGTGTTTATGCATAGTTCTGCAAATTATTTTAACAGTGAAAGTATTTTGTACAAA